TTTTTTTTATTACTGTGTGAAAGGTTTTAGATTTTTACTGAGTAGGGTTGATGAAGCAGAGTATGTTCAGCTCCAAGTTGTTGTGTTCGGGTTCGGAGATGATGTACGCAAGCCCTTTTCTGAGTAGCTCAAGGCAAGTGGCCGGAGCCGGTTTACGGTGTTGTTCTTGCAGAGGTGATTGATAATTTGATATATGGTGCCATTTGATTATAGTTTTGCTGAGTTTAAGGCATTAAGACATGGTAGTTATTTGTGTTGGTTAAATAAAGTTGAAATCTTGCATTTCTGTTCATGTACCTCTGCCTACTTACTTGGTTGTTCATTGGCTACTCGGATTTTCTAGGTGAGATCCAAATCTTGATGAGTGGAAGAAGTGTTTTGTTTATCGACAAGAACTTATGCCATATAGTTGCACCACACAATGACCAAATTGTAGCTTTTTCCTACATCTTTCTCGATTTTTTTCGAGGTTTTTTAATATTGTAGGTTCCAAACATGTAGTTTAAGGCATTGAGACATGTTAGTTATTTGTGTTGGTTAAATAAAGTTGAAATCTTGCATTTGTGTTCATGTACCTCTGCCTACTTGTTGGTTCATTGCCTACTCAATTTTTTAGGTATATAGGTTAGTATGGTTCATTGCCTACTCAATTTTTTAGGTATATAGGTTAGTATTAGAACCGGGGGAAGAGAGTGTGGTCCCACCAGGTGAAGCACACCATAAGAGGGTGAGCCTAGATGCATCTTAGTGAGGTTCAATCCCAAAACCAATCGGTGATGGGAGGAGTAGCCACTTATATACTAGACTCATTTTTCCTATAGAATCAATGTGGGACAACTCATAAGTGATATTCCAAGTGAGATCCAAATCTTGATGAGTGGAAGAAGTGTTCTATTAATTGACAAGAACTTATGCCATATAGTTGCACCACACCAAGACCAAATTGTAGCTTTTTCAACATCTTTCTCGATTTTTTCTTTTTCTTTTTTTTTTTTTTTTTTAACATTGTAGGGTCTTAAGAATTGTCATGAGATGTTTGTTTATTTGTAAAGGTGCTCAGGTAAAGGCTTCATACTCGAGTTCTTCGAAAAATGGTAATTACGGTGAAGTTTCAGCTATACAACAGGATCTCTTGGACTCTTGTTCATATCGAGTCAATGGAATTAATGGTTCGAATAATAGTTCCTTTTTGAATAAAGATAAAGTCTTGGATTCATCTGATGATGGGTATGAAGGAGTCGTGATAAATCCAGATACACTCCCGACTGATACTAACGAATTCGCCTCTCGACTTCGTTTTTCTCTGTACCAATGGAACATAAGGGTATAATTTCTTGTTTTATTCATTTACATATAAGTGATTATTCTCAGTTCTAGCCACAAACGTACGTGTAAATTTTCTTCGGATCAAAAGTTGAGAGAATCACCTTTTTTCATCATTTGCTTCTTAGAGTTAATTTGTGGATAAAAAATCAGGGAAAGAAGGGGATTTGGCTCAAGTTGCCGTTAGAAAGATCTAACCTCGTTCCTGTAGCTGCACAGGTGAATCTATTTACACGATAATTAAATCATTCGATCTTTTCTTCAGAACACTTTTCCTTCTTACATTAATTAAGGACTTTGGATTTGTGCACGGAGGATTTGAATATGTTTACACGATTATAACCATTCGATCTTTTTTTTCAGAACACTTTTCCTTCTTACATTAATTAAGGACTTTGATTTTGTGCATGAAGGATTTGAATATGTTTACACGATAAATCGTTCGATCTTTTTCCAGAACACTTTTCCTTCTTACATCATTAATGAAGTACTTTGATTTGTGCATGAAGGATTTGAAATTTGTGTACACGATAATTAGTCATTCGATCTTTTTTTCAGAGCACTCTTTCCTTATTACATTAATTAATGACTTGGAATATTTGTGCAGGAAGGATTTGTATACCATCATGCAGAAAGATCATATGTCATGATGACTTACTGGGTCCCACAGGGACCTTCCCTTCTTCCTCCGAATGCTTCCCATCATGTTGGAGTCGGTTCTTTCGTGATCAATCATAAAAATGAGGTAGTCGTCCTCCCCCCCCCTAAGTATTTTGTGAGAATATATAATACTCAAATCCATCTTTTTCAGTATGTTTTATTTTTTGTTTAATTAAACATCGTGTTAGGTGCTAGTCGTGAAAGAAAAGCATTGCCCTCGAGAACTTGTTGGTCTCTGGAAAATACCCACCGGTTTCATTCTTGAGGTATTTTTTGATTTTCATGCATGTTTTTAGCAGCTTATAGTCGATAAGTAAAGTGTTTTTACGGCACGTGATTATAATGTTATTCTCAGTCAGAAGAAATCTATAATGGGGCAGTACGAGAAGTAAAGGAGGAAACTGGGGTAAGAAAGAAACTCATATGCTTATTTGCAATTTTTCGACTAATTAATTTCTATACCGAATGAATCCTTCCATATCCGAAACCTTAATTTTCGGCCAATTCTTGTAATGGAAAAAAAAATGTCGTTCTTTTTTTTCAGATCGACACTGAATTCGTGGAAGTTGTTGCATTCCGGTAAATGTTATCTTCCTTTTAGCTTTCGATTTGATATTTTGTATTGGCAAAAATACATTTTTAGTCCTATTGGTTTAACGCTATAACAATTTTAGTCTCAGGGTTTCAAATTTTCGCCTTTTGGTCATGTGATTTAATATTTTGCTGCAATTTTTAAGTCCTTCGAGGACTGAGATTGCATCAAAATTTTAAATCACATGACTGTAATTGCAACAGAATTATATATTATAGGACTTGAATTACTAATAAGAAATCTATAAATTTGGGAATAAGTTGCAATTTCAGGCCTCAAAGGACTCAAATTGTAGCAAGATATTAAATCATAGGACCAAATGTTTGAATTTGAGACTAAAATTACTATGGCGCTAAACAAGAAGGACTAAAAATGAAATTTACCCTATTTGTATTTAAGGCTCTAGTATTTAACAATTGCATGATACATTTAACTAAAGATTCTACTTCTAACAAAAAATGGTTACGAATTTCGTGTAGCCCAGATATTAGTTTTTGGCTGGAGAAAATTGAGAAAAATGCATAGGTATTAACATGATCTCTCATTGCAGGCATGCCCAGAATGTTTCTTTCGAAAAATCGGATATGTTCTTCGTCTGTATGTTACGACCTCTGACTACAGAAATCATGGTTGACAATGTAGAAATTCGAGCAGCCAAGGTAATTATTACCGTGTGCTTTGATTTTTAGAGCCTTTAAGAAAAACTTACCACGAGAGAAAACATAAAGAACCAAATCACAAACACTACTTGTTTATATAGNNNNTTTTTTTTTTTTTTTTTTTGCGTTACGTTACGTCAAATTTATCTTCAGTTCTTCACGTGTCGATTTTATTACGCATTTGCAGTGGATGCCTCTGAATGAATTTGCAAACCAGCCTTTGATAGTAAGGGACAACATGTTCAAGAAAATCGTCGAGATTTGCATGGCTCGGCTAGGAAAGCGATATTGTGGACTCTCTGTACATCAAATGGTTTCTAAATTTGATGGCAAATTATCCTCACTGTATTTCAACATGATTGATTATCAAGATTCTGGTTGTGAAGCTAACTAAAGGCAAATTTGATATTAAAAAAAGAAAAATATCTATGCCATTGTAATATAAATATATAAATGTATCATTTAATGTAAGTAGCAGTTTAATGCATTGTTTGTGCCTATGCTAAAACCAAAACATTTTTATCCCTAATCTTTTGGTTGCTTTCAGTTCTTCATTTTCCTTTCACCTCTGCTAAAGGTAGATTATCTTTGAGAAAGCTCGACTCCAGTGTTTGAAACCTGGCAAGTTATCGACCTGTTTCAACCGTCGGTCACTGGATCAATTGCTGAAACGGGTAATTAGTTTTAAAATGAAAAAAAAAATGTATTTACTATTTTTATCTCATGAATGTACATAAAAAAAAAATATATAAATAATTTATACGAAGATTTTATATGTCAAAGCCTTAATAATATAGTATCTCAACATAAGTATTTATTACCATGTAAATATATGTAAACAATTTTTATTTTTTATTTTTCATTTAAGATTTCCATTTATTTTAATTATTTATTTCATAATAAGTTATTTGTTTTATTATTTTATTTTATTTGATTTATTTTACTTTACCATTTTTATACTTTATTATCTATATTATATTATTTTTATTTTATTTTAACTGGTGTACTTTATTCTAGTTTATTTTTTAATTGAATTACATCATTATTATTTTACATATCCAAATTTATAATAATTAATTTAATTTTAATAAGTAAGAAACATATAAATTTATTTAGAACTTTATATAATAAATTTTATCTTATTTTATTTTAGTTTTTCATTTAATATTATATACTCTTTATTTATTATATTTTAATTATTATAATATTATATCTTATGAATATAATTTAATATAATCTACGTTATCTTTTAAGTTTAATTTGATTTATTAGAATCTATATATATTAAACGCTATCC